CAGAGGTAGTAACAGACCTGTGCCACCGCTCCTGCCAGTCTGGCGTGGAGAGTGAGAGAAAGCATAAGCAGAGGAGAGAGCAGCTGGTGTAGCCGAATTCTCTGGGGACATCCAGGTCTCAGTTAGAGCCAGAAAGTCAAGACAATGGCGGGAAGCAAGGGCGGAAATGAAATCAGCCTTCTTTACAGCAGACTGGCAATTCCAGAGGCCACCCAACACCCAACGTTGGGACTGGGATGATAGGGGAGGGTAGATACGATTACTGGATGTGCGGCGCCTGGGTGTTGGATGGGATCTTCTAGATCTAAGAGATAAGTGGACTGGGATAGGTTTGAGGGACATGTCTGCGGTGATGGTGTGAGTTTGCAAAATTCAGAATAGAATAAAAGAGAAATGAAGGATAGAACGAGTAGTAACAGATTAACTGCGTTTGTCTCTAACTCAGTTAGCCCCGCCTCTAATTTACACCTTCAGCGAGACCGAAACTACACTTGATTGGCTACCTGAAACTACTGATTAACAGAAAATAGCAGACACTACAACGGTTTCAACTGAGTCCAAGACAGAAAGTAAACAAAGACAGAGTCCTACCTTACTAGCAGAGAAGAAATCCAAATCAGAGCTTGAAGCACAAGGGCCGCAAAGCCACGAATACACGGACAAGCGCGCACTCAAGGGTAGGCCGGCGAAACAGTTGTAATTTTCTCTAGCCCTAACAAAATGGATATTACAGGGCCCCTAACAGCCACAACTTCACGCGCCTTATTGCAGTCAGGGATGGAAATTCACATTGTCCCTGAAAACATAGTGTGGTAGGTGAGGCCCTTCGAGACCTCTCTCATTTTCTGGGACCAGATCAGTATAAAGACGGTACAAGAAAATGACGAGCTTTTGAGTGTTGCATGGGTCTAAACTGAGGATGTGTGTGGCCACATCATCATTCACAGATATGGCAGCACGCATTTTTAAATTGCCCCCTTGCTGACCTGGGACATCCACCGTGGCCCGCTAGCCAATGATGTTATGGCCACGTCTGCGGCCCTTGGCCAGGTTGAAACCAGCCTCATCAACAAACACGAGGATGTGAGGTGTTTCATTCCCTTCTAATGCCATTATTCTGTACAATAGAGTAAAAAAAATCAAATCAGTCATATAGAGGAGTCATACACAACAGTAATAGAAAATTACATAGGATTGTTCTATGTTGTCCTCCACAAGTTCAATATAGCCTACTACTGGCCACTACTCCAGTGGTTCCAAACCTGGGGTACAGGCCTATGCAGAGGTACTGCAGGGAGTATTTGACACAAAGAGGAGGGAGAAATACTGAAGACAGTTTTCTGTTGCAGTTTTTAGGTAAAATGCTGTAGTCAGATAAAGCTGGATACTGAAAACCAAAAAAAAACTTGGAATCACTGCTTACTGTAATGTTACAATGATAGACAACCAATAACTGACTTACATGCACATACTGGTACCGCAGCTCTTTCACTCTGTCAGAGTACCTCTCAAATGGTATGCTGTAAATCTGCTCATGGTCATCTGATGCTTCTTCAATAGCCGGTATATTGTGGAGATGCTGATAGAGTTGACATTTTGGAATATGGCATTGTCTTGAAGGATTGCATCACGGATCTGTCTCAATATGACAGCAATATATGCAATCACCATGTTACAGATCTCTTGTTCTTGTCATTCATTGAGAAGTTTTCCTCTGCCACCCACGTGAGGTTGTCGTCCAATCCTAGACATACTGTAGAAGTCAAAGGACAACACTGTATGACAATTTGTAATGTATGCCTTATGTATTTGTTACAGAATGAGTTACCATTGTAATTGTATTACAAGTGTTGTATTATTAAGTGTTGTATTACAGTGATGCATTACAATTGTAATGCATCACTGCCCAGTAACTGGAATACACCTGCGTCTCAATCGTATGTGCCGCGTTTGTACCGGATTGTGCCGTTAAAATTTTTGTTTGTGCTGTTTTAGTTTCTGAGATATTAATGTTGTTTACATGGTCACGTGACACCAGTGTGAAGTTAGCCCCCCATTTGTGTCTGATTTCCACCAAACCGATCACAATCGTGTGTGCTGCGTTTGTGCCATTAAAATTGTCCTTTGTGCTGCTTTAGTTTCTGAGATATTAATGTTTGTAAGGTTGCCCCCCCTCCCATTTGCGTCTGATTTCGACCAAACCGATCGCAATCGTTTGTGCCGGTTTGTGCCGTTAAAACTGTCCTTTGTGCTGCTTCCGTGCAGAGATATTGCTTATTTACACGTGACTTGGCTGTTAAGTTAGCCCCCCATTTGCCTCTGAACCGGTCTCAATAGTTTGTGCCGTTTAAAAGTTGTCTGTACTGTTATTTTTCTGAGTTATACCTCTTAGTTTATGCCTTTACATCATCGCCGTATAGTGCTCAGGCTTGTGTTTCTCATGTTAACGGAAGGTGGAGCGTTTGATGACTCCGCGGCAAAGCTCCACGTAGACTTAGTCAGCCCCACCAGCCAGATACCGCATTTTAGGATCATGCTAGATATTTTCACAAAGGACTGACCGTTACGTGCAGGCTTGACCCAGGTTATCATCTGTTTTCCCGTAAAATTTACGCTAAAAAACTGGCAGCTGTGGTTACCAGAAATCTACTGTAAAAAACACGGTAGAAATGTTCTTAAGCTAAAGGTATAAGTGAACTGTAAAATTTACGGTAAATACTGGCAGCTGTAATTGCAATAATCTACTGTAAAAAAATACGGTAGTAATATTCTTAAGGTTACGGCATACTTAAGTAAACTCTGAAATATATGGTAAAAACTGGCAGCTGTAATTGCAATAATCTACTGAAAAAAATACGGTAGTAATATTCTTAAGGTTACAGTATACTTAAGTAAACTGCAAAATATACGGTAAAAAACTGGCAGCTGTGGTTGCCAGAAATCTATTGTAAAAAATACGGTAGTAATATTCTTAAGGTTACGGTATACTTAAGTAAACTGTAAAATATACAGTAAAAAACTGGCAGCTGTGGTTGCCAGAAATCTACTGTAAAAATACAGCAGAAATATTGTTTAGGTTATGGTAAACTTATAAGGAAACTAAAATTTACAGTACAATATTGGCAGCTGTCGACAGAAATACCTCAAAAATATAGTAAGCATGTTCTTCAGTTTGTTATACTTAAAATATGAAGTATACCAGTATCCTTATACTCCTAGATGACAACAAACAATAACATTAATTTGAACAATAAAAGTTATTGAACAACCATATTCTCCTTAAAACAGCAATGAAGAATATACTCATTGTTGGCTTCATATTGCAAAATAAACAATTTGAATAATTACAATCCAGATTACAATTTACCAGAAAGCAACATGTTCAATAAGGTCCGTGTGCCTTTGCGATCATTCGTTATTCTATTTCCAGAAGTAAAACGAAAATCAAAAAAGAAGTGGTATATTCAGTAGGAAATAAAAAAAATATATAATTTGCAATTTACAAAATAAATATCCTCCCATTCTTTTTTTTTATTATTAAATTAATACGATCTTAGAATAATATAAAATGCTTAAATACAATTATAAAAAAAGAAACATCCTTCCTACGGTATATAGAAATTCAGAATGGGAGGGGGAACTGGTTGCCCCGGAAAGACTTAACTTTGCCACCTTATCTTTGGATAATTCAAATGCGTATCATGGTTTCACTTGAGCCGTATTCCGAGATTATTTCTGACATGCTGAGAAGGCATGCCACACATGCAGATATTTCCCAACATCTTCAAAATATTGGTGTGGGACGCGGATGTTCTGTGATGAGTATACGGCGGTTTTGTGATGCTCAGAATCTCAAGCGGGGAGTATCC